CACGTACTCGTCGAACACAAGCAGCATATCGTTCACCACGTCTTCTGTATGTTTTGATGCGACCATCTGAGCCATAAAGAACCATTCCGGACTCATCACCAAACAAATAAATTTTTTTGAACCATACAACGACTGACTCCAAGCTGTCTGGCCACTTCTCTTTGACTCATTCCATTACCAATCAAAGTAACAATTTGAACAGATCTAGTAAATTTCTCAGCCATAGTTTTTAATTTAAAAATTGCACAAGTTTACTCTTCGAACAACTGTAGACTAGGGAAAGGTTTTTGAAAACCACGTGCATTATCCGAAATCGTAAAACTGATATCAATTCTGTAAACTTATTACCCTTAATTGACTTGTCGGTGCCTAAAAGACGCTAAAAGTGTTTCTGCATTGTGGGAATTTAGATACAATAGAATAAATTGTATAAACTTTAAGTTATTGAAACATTCTTACAAAATTCTAGGTGGCCTCTTTTTCGTGACACTCAGTGTATTTTTAAATGGGGATGATTTGAATTTTTGCACCATTTCCATATGTATTCTTAATTGAAATAACTAACTGTTGGTCATTCTCGTTGCCAAAAGTGGAAAATAAATGTATCTATGATCATGCTGACTGAAAAAATCCAAAGTTATCTCGTTAATCATTTAAGTAGTACAATATCTTTAACGAGATTGATAACTAAATGCTTACCCAAATTTTACGTACTCAAAATAGTAACATTGACGTCAAAAGTAATGATGACATACCACAAGATAACTTGCATAATATTTGTATTATATGTAGATTATATTAAATAACATCACAATTATTTACACTTCAATGATTGCATAGTAGATTTTTTTGTCTTCTTTTTATGGAGCTTTCCGTTTTATGAAGGAGATCGATTTTGCCTATCATTTTAAGTAAATCGATATTTAACTTTGTCATTAAAACCTAACCTAACTTAACCTAATTTTCGTATAATTGGTTTTCAACTGACAATACTTCCAAGATAATCCACGATCATAGAGTTTCTTTAAAATGTTTTTACGCACTTTTAAGTTGAAAAGTTTCCAATAATTTATTACATATACATATATTTATTTAGTTATATACTGAATTCTGTGAAGACAATGAGATGATCATTACGAACACATGGTATAAACTATCCAAATAATGCCTATACACTTTGAAAGTCCATTGTCCATTTGATGTTATTAGTATAATATTTCTGAATCTTCAGGATCAAATAGATTATTTACATACGTTTCAGCAATGCTGTTAGAAGAGTAAACACCATTCCAGTAGATTATATCGGAAGAGATAGCAGACAGAATATTAAATGTAGTTAGTCTAATAGGCCAGAATTGCAGAAGAATGATCAAGTACTTACTAATTACGGAATTAAGGATATAGGTATTATCGCCAATCTGTATTGGAACCAGAAAACAACAGTACGTCTTCAAAATTTCAACGAAACAGAAGATTTCTCCATTAAAAAAGGAGTAAGGCAAGGTTGTATACTGTCTCCAATGCTGTTTAATTTATACGTAGAAAAAGTCTTCGCAGAAGCAGTGGCCGACTCTAATAAGGGTATTAAAGTTAACGGCATATTTATTAATAACATCAGGTTATGCCGATGATACAGCTATAGTGGCAGATAACATCTAAGATCTTCAGTGCCTTTTAAATTATCTAACTTTTGCAAGTGAAGCTCAGGGTTTGAAAATAAATATCAAGAAGACAAAAACAATGCTTGTAGGTAGAAATCATTACCCCAACGCAAAGATATATGTCTCTGGAGAAGAAATCGAACAGGTCAGGCAATTTAAATACTTGGGTTGGGACCCCGAGAATGAAATAAAGAGCAGAGTTGAACAAGCCAGAAAGGCTTTTTTGAGGCTTTGTAAGTTTCTGACTGATCGCAAATTGGACTTCCACTCCGATACAAGATGCTTAAGTGTTACGTGTGGCCTGTTTCTTTGTACGGAATGGAAGCATGGACGTTAAAGGCCAGTTCCATTAACAAACTTGAAGTCTTTGAAATGTGGTGCCTGCGTCGAATGCTTAAATATCATGGACGGACAGGGTCAGAAATGAGCAAGTACTCAGAAGAGCGGGCTTACAGGATAGGAAAATTTTTAGTTACGTAAAAAGTAAGAAGACTGCATACTTGGGGCACATATTACGAGGAGAAAGATACACTTTTCAGCAACTGATACTCGAAGGGAAGATAGAGGGTACGAGGGGTCTGGGACATAAAAAAATGTCATGGCTGCTCAATATTCGACAATGGACAGGAATCCACAGCTATGAAATGCCTCGCAATGCTGCTAAAAACAGAATTATTTAATCCTTACTATTTAACATCTCACCTGACAAGACGATGTACGGTGGACGCCTACGCAGAAATGCACGGCACCTTAAGAAGAAGTTGTATTGAATGGAATCATGGATGCTAAAAACACCAACGATGAACCGAATTAAACCATTAGAACATACATAGGAACGAATATATTGTTGAGAAAGGTCAATAATTGAGAACTGTTGAGCATATATTAAGAGGAGAGATATGAATTAGCGAATGAAGCTGATTTTCACGGGAAAAATACAAATTCAAAGAAGTGCGTTAGAAAGCAGAAGCAAAGACAGAAGCTTCTTGGCTGAGAAACATTCCAGATTTTAAAAAAATGTGATCCCAGAGGTTTCCAGTTTCTCTTGATACTTTCTTGATTGCCTTTAATGTTTTATTTTACAGTATACCCTTATAAATAGTTAATTTAGATGCAAGTAAATACTACTACTACTAAGGATTTCCACAGTTTTCACTGTCTTCCTTCACTCAACGGTTTTTTCCAATTTTCCCTGTCATTCCAGTCTCCATCTCGCAGGGTTCTTTTCTCCATAGCCTCGTCAATTTCGTCTCTGAATGACCTTCGGGGTCGTCCTCTCTTTCTTCTTCCGATCGAGCTCCATTCTGTGATTTTGTTTATCCAGCGTCCTCTGTCCGCTCTTCTGACGTGGCCGTACCAGGATAGTCTCTTCTCATCTATATAGTCGATTATGTCTGATTGCACTCCCATTCTCCGCTTAATCTCTGCGTTTTCAATTCTGTCTCTTTTTGTAAGTCTACAGCTTCTCCTCAGGAACTCCATTTCTACTGCTCTTATTCTACCTCTATTTCTCTTGTTTATTGTCCAGTTTTCGGACCCATATGTCAGGATACTTCTTGTCAGGGTATTATATATTCTCTTTTTTGTCTTTATCGTAATGTTCTTATCCCACAGCACTGAATTTAGTTGTCTTATACAGTTTCTTGTTTGTCTTAGTCTGTTGTTTATATCTTCTTCTGTTGTTCCCTGGTTCGATATTATGGTTCCTAAATACTTGAATTTATCTGTTCCATTTACTTGTCTTCCCTCGTCTATCTCTAGGTTTCTCATATCCTTGTTTTCTGTTGTTAGGTTTTCGGTTTTCTCTAAGTTTATTTCCATTCCGTTGTTTTTATATTCTATTTCTAGTTTTCTGAGCATAAAGATGAGATCTTCTTCATCTTGTGCGATGACTACTTGATCGTCGGCAAAACTTAAGGTGTATAGGTATTCGTCTCTTACTGGTATGCCCATTCCTTCGCACTTTCTCCTCCATGGTTTGAGTGTCTTTTTCAAGAATATTTTAAACAGAGTAGGGGACGTAGCACAGCCTTGTAGAAGTCCTTTTGTCGTCTTAAATGGATTGTAGGCTTTATTTCCACATTTAATAGCTACTTTGTTTTCTTTTCTGTACAGTGCTTTAACTGCTTTTATTAGTGTTTGTCAAATTCCGAGATCATTCATTGCTTCCCATAATTTGACTCTAGGTATTGAGTCGTATGCTTTCTTTAGATCAACAAACGCCAGATGGACCGGTCTACCTTTCGCCATTTTCTTCTCTATCAGTTGTTCTAATGTGTACGTATGATCTAGGTATGATTTTCCTACTGTGAACCCTGCTTGATCTTCTCCAATTTTTCCTATTATTTCGTTTCTAGTTTTTCCTTGATAATTTTCCCGTAATGTCTACCTACCGACGATATTATACTAATTCCTCTGTAGTTTTCACATTTTTTCCTGTTTCTTTTCTTATGTATGGATGTGATGTATGCTTGTGTCCATTCCGCAGGTATTTCCTCTCCATTTAGTCCTCTTTCGAACATTCTGTGTAGCATGCGGAATAACTTTTCCGTTTCGTTTTTAATTAGTTCGTTTGATATCCCTCCGGGTCCTTTGGCTTTTTTGTTCTTCAATGTCTTGATTGCTCTCTTGACTTCTGTCAGACTTATTTCTATCTGGTCGTATGTCCCATTTCCTGCATGTTCTGTATTCTCTTCCTGAAATTGGGGACGGTTTTCTGTAAGTAGTTCTACGTAGTATTCTTGCCACTCGTTTTCACTAATTTTGCCGATCTGGGTTTTCTCTGTCTTATTTCGTTGGAGTGCTTTTAATATTCGCCATGATTCTGAATTTCTCGTTCCTCCGATATGTCGTTCTATCTCTGTGCATGCTTGTTGCCATCGTTCGTTCTTTTCATTTGTTACTCTTTTCTTTACCTCTCTGTTTTTCGCTCTATATAGGTCTAAGTCTTCCTGTTTTTTGGTGTTTAGGTATTTTATGTGTAGTTTTTTCTTTTCTTTTATTTTAAGTAAATAATATTATAACATAAAGCAAACATGTTGGAATATTCTAGAAAATATAAGAATATTCCAAGAAAAAAGTTTTTGTTGTTTTGTATTTTTGACCAAATTATCAGTTTGAAAATAAAAAAAAATCTTAGGAAACATTATTATAAATTATTTTTTATTACTAACTTTTGTTCTTGCTTCTGTGCTGTGCCGTCTGTGTGCCTTAATAATTGTTGTACTAGCTGTACTAGCATCACAGTCAGCATTATTTAGTAGCCAATGATTTTAGCTTAACAATTTGTGGTGGCCAATTAAAATAAAAAAGACTTTGAAGGTATAATTTTTTTACTAGCAAGATCCAATGTCCCATCGAATAATAGAGAAAAGGAGAAGGGATAGAATGAACAATTGTCTCGCCGATTTGTCACGATTAATACCCACAGAATATTTGAAAAAAGGTCGAGGGAGGATCGAGAAGACGGAAATCATCGAAATGGCTATAAAACATATGAAATATTTGCAACAGGACCAAGGGAATCCAACTGAGCACTATCGGTAAATACAGTAAGATTTTTTTAGTTTATATTAGTTCATTATCATTCATTCATTTCATCTTAGCTATTTATATTGTTACAACTTTTACAAGTCCTGTCCTTAACTTCCAAATAGGCGAGAATTTGAGTGACAGGCATGATACTATAACAAACAAGATATGCTCACTTGTTCTAATTTTAATCGACTTTGCGCATGACATCATAGGGGACTTGTGTGTATCATATTTTAACGATGCATCATATAGCAACGTTGTTCCATGACTGTAATGAGCAACTTCAAAATTTAAACTGTTAACTGTAAGTATACCTCGATGCCAAGGGACACAAAATAGAAAAAAGAATGGAATAACCACCTAAGCAAATCGGAGGAGACCGTGTGGTCAAAATAGCAAGAGATGTCACCAATCGGCAGAAGAAAAAGAAATGATGGAGTGACAACTTTTCATAGAGGTATTAATCCGCCAATGAACAAGTATAATTCCTTATAAAGAAGAAGAAGAGACAAATTGTGTACTTTTATATATGTATGGTTTTAATACGTATCCAAGAAAACGCATTCAACATAGGGTCGTTTTCGCCACCGAAAGAAGATGCCAGGTATTTCTGATCGAGACGGTCAGACCTAAGAAGGAAGCCATGTTATAAGTTTTACAAATCCTGACTTGAACTTTCAAATAAGTTGGAGACAACTTATTAACAAAACAATAAGGCACCTGGACCAGATGAAATCCAGTCAGAAATACTAAAATTACTAGATGAAAGGGGAATTTCAGCACTCCACAAAACATTTAATTTAATTTATGAAACTGGCTGCTATCCTCAACAGTGGTTACGCTCTACCTTTATTCCTCTGTCCAAGAAAGTCAATGCAAAAAGATGTGAGAATCACAGACTCATTAGTCTGATGAGTCACACTTTAAAGATATTCTTAAAATACTACATCAAAGATTATACAAAAAATGTGAATGGGACATCAGTGATTCCCAGTTCGGGTTTAGGCAAGGTTTAGGAACACGAGAAGCAATAGTAGCAAACACAGGTGCTGGTCCAAAATTGTTACGATCAGAGGAAGGATGTGTTCCTATGCGTTTTAGATTACCAAAAAGCGTTTGATCGTGTCCAACACCACAAGTTAATGCAGATTCTCAAGAAAGTTGATATAGACCAAAAAGACATAAGATGCATTGAAAACTTGTACTGGCATCAAACGGCACAGTTAAAAATAGACTATTCTATATCCAAACCCATACATATAAGAAGAGGCGTTCGTACAGGGATGTGTGCTTTCCCCTCTTTTATTTAACATTTATTCGGAAGCCATATTTGAAGAGTCTTTGGGGATACAGAGATGGGAATCAAGGTGAATGGAGTATTGATCAACAACATACGATATTCTGATGATGGTGTCTTAATTTGTGACAACATAGTCGATCTTCAACAACTTGTCACTATAATCGGAGAATACAGTAAACGAATGGGATTAGAGATTAATACCAAAAGACCAAATTTATGATCATCTCCAGAAACTTAGATGCACTTGAAAACTTCACCATAACACTGATACTAAGTCCATTGAAAGAGTGAGTAAATTTAAATACCTGGGATCGTGGCTTTTTGAAGACTGGGCATCGGACAGGGAAGTAAAATGTCGCATTGAGCAAGCTTTCGTAAAATTCAAGAAGGTACTGACTTGTTCAGAGTTCGATCTTCAACTGAGACTAAGGTTTCCTAAGTGCTACGTATGGTCAGTGCTGCTATATGGCGTAGAGGGCTGGACACTCAAAACGAGGGATATAAACAGATTAGAAGCTTTCGAAATGTGGCTATCGCCGTATCCTAAAAATACCATGGACAGCGAAAATCACAAATATAGATGTCCTTAAAAGAATAAACTAAGAACGCCAACTTTTCGAAACCATCAAGAAAAGGAAAACGGCGTATCTAGGTCACATCATGCGAAATGAAAAATACCAGTTCCTCCAACTTATAATCGAGGGTAAAATTGAAGGCAAGAGAGGAATGGGACGCAAGAAAATGTCCTGGCTTCGAAACGTAAAGCAATGGACAGGGATTTAACGACATACAATATCTGATACATATTGCAAGAAATAGAGAATTAATGGAAAATCTGATCGCTAACATCCATTAGTGGATTTGCATCTGAAGAAGAAGAAGAAGGAGAGTTCTCGAAATTTAAAGAAGTGCATAGAAATCACCAGAATAGCTCGAAGAATATGTAATCCGATATTCTCGAATTCTTTAGTTAATTTTATATTAGTGTTAATTTTTTTATATATTTTTGACTCACATTAGTAACTATTTCATCCTTAGTATCATATTAGGTGTTAGTAGGGTATTATTAGAATATTTTTCTATATTGTCGCACGAATAACCACCATCGACTTTTTTGAAACAATAATCATAATATTATTTACTGTTTTAGGCTAGGATATCAAGAATGTATGTCGGAAGCGATGCGATTCATGGTAGAAGTAGAAGGGCATTTTCCACGTGAAGCCATTTGCGTCAGACTTTTGAATCATTTACAAAAGCACGGCGATTCAATTTCCCGTGCTGCATCGTTCAACGGGAACCACCATTCTTCATTGTTGACAGAACACATTGTGCCAGTACCGAACATACCAGAACCAAGTAAGTCATGCATGTATACAAACCCCTTTCCATATCAGTTGACCCAACGTTAGATTGATAAGAAAATTTAATTTTAGAGGACAAAAATAAAAGCGCAGCGTAAATTTTAGAAGTTTTAATGCATCGAACAATATTTTTGAATTTCCTATTTATAGAAAATATTTTATAACGTAATGAAAACTATTGATTAAACAGAATAATAATAAATTTTAAAAAACGCATAGAATATGTAATATTAACAATAAAAAAATGTTAAAGTTTACTACTGAGTTACATCCCCTTTATTTTTAATGACATCCACAATTCTTCGAGGCATAGTTTTTACCAAGTTCTGACAAAATTCTAATGTAAACAAATCCTACATTTCTTGCAATTTTTCCTTCAATTCGTTGACGGACCTGGCAGGATGTTTTCTCAAAGCTTTTTTCATTTTGCGCCAAAAAGTCTCTATCGGGAACAAGTCAGGTTTGTCAGAAACTCATTCCAAAAGTGGTATACCATGGTCTTCCATCCATTTTAAACTCTTTTTTGAGGTATGACAACCTGCGCCATCCTGTTGGAAGACAAAATCTTTCGCTGATGTTAAACGGTGTTCCATAATCGGTAAGAGAGATAGATTCTTCTAAAATATTCAAATATTTGTTCTTGTTTAGAATCCCATCGATAAAATGTTATTTTCCCACGTCTTTTGACGTAAATTTGACTTTTCTCTTCAGCTTCATTTTTCCTGCGAATGATGCGACTTCTACTGTCCCCAACACACACTTCAAATCTGGACTCATCACTCCATTTGTAACGAATATATTTTGCCTACCATAGAGTAAGATTATGGGGGTTGAAAATTGGGGATAGAAATTATAGGGGTGGAGATAGGGCAAGCAAAATAATCGATACTTATGCGGACGGCACTCAGGGGTTAATTGGAGAGCTGGGAACAAGGGGTCCGATTGATACAACTACCAAAAGATGAAACAAAGGGATACTTACATAAATCTCTTGGACAACTGGGCAAATAGAGACAACAAGAAAAAGACTTCTAGCTATTTGAAAGGAGGACGCCGTTTCGAAAAATCCTAAACTTGCTGGATTTAGGAAAAATATCCCTAAAATAAAAAACACACCAAAGGGTTAGGAGATTATTCTAAAATAAAGCAAACAAAATAGTTCAGAGAAGTGAAATAAACATTTATTTTTGTCTCAAACAAACAGTTACATATACAGATAAACAGAAGTAATTATGATATTTATAATTACATGGGTTTATAACAAAATAAACAAACGTCATAGAAAATTTAAGGCTAGATGTCATATGTCAACATTTATACTGACGCCAAAGAACAAATAGATCGACAGCATAACCACACAAAGTATAATACATATTACATTATTTAAATTATCATGAAAGCAATTATTGAAATCGTAAGCTTCCACGGCCAGAGTCAGAATTATAATTTATTCGTCTTCCGGGTTTGGACCGTGTCATTTGTAAGTGACCCAAAAGTGGGTTCATCTCGACGTTTCGCTACAATTGTATGTAGCTTCTCCAGGAGAACAACGAAAAAGAAATCAAAGACAGAAAGATGGGTAGTTAGCAACGGTAACTCAGTTACTCAACGCAACCAGAGGCGAATACTAACTACCAAGATGGGCATATGGTCACAGTAACTAATCGGTCCCTTCCCTTTCTCGATGTGTTAGTCACCTCCAAGCCTAATGGCCGATTGGGTCACTCTGTTTATAGAAAAAAGACTCACACAAATCGTTACCTACATGCTTCATCACACCACCATCCTGCCCAAAAGAATTCTGTGATCAACTCTCTCATCCATCGGGCCATTTCGATTTCTGAACCTGACAACCTTAGAGAAGAACTTGGCCATCTGCAAAAAACCCTTGTCGCCAACGGTTACTCCAAGTCCAAAATTCAAAATATTACACACCGACATCTACATTCCCCTTCACACCCTAGGACGACAAATTCAGAATCTTCGGGTAATACTCCTGTGGCTTTTCTTCCGTATATTCGAAGTGTCACTGATAGGATTGGCAAAATTCTTCGCAAAGAAGGTATCAGGACTACTTTTCGACCACCCAAGAAAATCTCACAATATCTACCCTCTCCTAGGGACCCATTACCGCCCCTATCTTCCTGTGGTGTCTATTCTATTCCTTGTTCATGTGGACATGTGTATATTGGCGAAACTGGTCGTTCCGTCAAAAATCGGATTCAAGAGCATCAAAGATGCATTCGATCAGGTCTTTTCTCCCATTCTGCAGTTGCAGAACACTGCCAAGAAACCGGTCATTCCATATTGTTCGAAAAAACCCATATTATTTCTAAGAGCCCCTTCTTTTATTCCAGGAAAATCCGCGAATCTCTAGAGATCCGAAAAAATCCACATAATATCAATCGAGAGGAAGGATCTACTTGTCTCCCATCTGGAATCTCAGTCTAGAGCCGCCGTCCGGCCCCGCTACCACGATACAGCCACATGATTGGCCAGCGCGCGCTTCTTGACGTTCGCGCCACGGAGTGTGCCGATACGTCCCGACACGACAGGTCACTGCGACTATAAATAGAGCGGTAGCGGAGTAATCGTCGGATTCACTCCCCGCCTCTCGACGCGTTAGTGTTCTGAGCTGTTGGACGTGAATCCCTGTCCTGGCATTTGGTTTTCACCTCTGGCTGCGTTAAGTAGTTGAGTTACTGTGACCATATGCCCATCTTGGTAGTTAGTATTCGCCTCTGGTTGCGTTGAGTAACTGAGTTACCGTTGCTAACTACCCATCTTCCTGTTCTTTGATTTCTTTTTCTTTGTTCTCCTGAAGAAGCTACATACAATTGTAGCGAAACGTCGAGATGAACCCACTTTTGGGTCACTCACAAATGACACGGTCCAAACCGGGAAGACGAATAAACTATAAAGCAATTATTGTTATTTAAAAAAATGTCTACTTTACTTTGAAAATTAAACACAAAATGTTACCTGAGTTTCAGTGTATAATTTTAAATAACTGGAGCGAAAAACTACATCTCCAAACTGTAAAAAACATATCCCAAGATGGCTGCTCGGGACATTGAGGTTTGAGGTTAAAAACTGACACATTGGACACACCCTGTAAACGCTTCTCAAAAACTAGACAATGGAAATGTTGATGTCTTTCCAAATTGTTGTAATCGCCGTGTTACAAATATCTCATAATGAGGGACGGCATACAACGAAAGCTAGTGATTACTTATATTTAAATAGACACATTACTTGAGTAAAATATCACTTCTCTAACATAATTGTCGGTTTTTCTTGACCGACCACTAAAACGTCTCCATTCTTCAGTTGCCTCTTTCAACCTGAAGTTCGACCTTCTATCCAACTCTCACGAACCGGATTTATTATCAATTTATTAAATAACTGTACAACTATTTATGATGTTCGAACATTTTAAACCACGTCCGCGAGTTTCTTTTCTTTACTAACTGCTCAATGAAAATCTTCCGTTATTTATATGAAACCAGCTGGTAAATATAATGCTGTCGAAAATACGATGCCGTCCTCGACGTAGACAGAGCGGCAATGATCTAAAAACTGGTATCGGTGCGGTTCCAGAAAGCTCTTATTTGTTGTTTTTATAGCGAAGGGGAACCCATCGTGTGTCAGGTAGATTTTGACCTAGAAATTACGAGAATCAATAAAAACAGAATTAGTCATAAAATATTTACAGTTTTATACGCCATAACATTTATTATCGTAACAGTATTTTTATTTTCAGTTTCAAATGACGTAAATCCCAAGACAGTAGGCTACTCCATGCCCAAAATGGAACCCGAACCCAACAACAACAACGGCTCCTACATAGTAAACCCCAATAGTCAAATGGTGACAGAAGCCGAGTACGAGAAACACGCAGACCATCCAGAAACCCATGCAATGTCCTACAAATATAAGACCAATATCAAACTGAGGTTTAACCAAGACAGTAACGGGGGCACTCAAGAGCCCTCCAAAATTCAGAAACTAGAAAATGGAAGAAGAAACTCGTTGACGAGTATAGAAAATCAAAGGTGAGTGTTTCAATATTTTTTCTCACTTCAAAATAGATGTTTCCCCTTTTTTTATTATAAAATTTCTTAAGAGCAATCGCATGATTTCCGCGGAAATGTTTTGGGGCAATAAAACACTATATAAAACATAACTAACACAGTATCATGCACAGATCTAGTCTTATTGGTAGATTACATATAACTGGATATATTTTCAGTTCCAGCCATAGCTCCCCTCCAAGCAGCGAGCCCTGCACACGAATCTCAGACAGCGACAACACCCACAGAAGATCTCCTTCGGACAGCACGTCCTCAGTACACAAGCTGGAACCTCCCAGAGCCGAAGTGATCCAAAGGTACTCCCCCAGCATCAAAGCGCCGATTCCAGTAGACACCAAACAAAATTTTAACGTCCCGATATTCGTCCTGCACGCCAAAGGATCATATTACATACCTCTCACCATCGATTATAAGTCCCTACTTCCGTTCCTGCACAATTATGATTTGTTGGAGAGCATGCCCATGCACGTCCTTCATCCTGTCACTATAAACGTAAATTTTTCTCCCAATTTCAGTGAAGGTAGCAAGTATAGCGTCAACAATTGGCATTAGGCAAATGAGGAAGTACTAAAAGGCTGTGATGGTCAGGTTAACTCTTAAGACTGATGTAAAAATTATTACATAGGCTGTAGATAACAGGTAGAAGTCTTTATTTTTAGACCTGAATATGTAAACTTTTATTCGAAGTGGAACCTGATTGATAAATGTTCATTTTTGTATAATGTTATGACATATTACTGTATATTTTTGTTTTTGTTTGAATTTTTCGTTAAAAATTGGACACAAACAGTGGTCGGACCTCCATACTGGGTTAATATCATATATAAATTTGCCAGGAATATCAGCCTGAAGCCGTATGTTGCAATTCTAGTACCCGTAATGGGGTTAAAATAATATGTCAACGCTTTTAAAAACACATTTAACAAAGTATCTTTTGTTTTGACATATCTTCGCCATTAAACGCAAATTTACAACATTAGACAGTTTGTTTCTAGAAAATGCATCAATAGAAAAATTTCAAAATGCAAAGATATCTGCCGCTCTTCAAATAGAGGCACTACTGGGAAACATACACAATAAAAGAATTTATGTAAATGATACAAAAAGAAAGAAAAACAACTTTCGCAATGTGCGCAATTTACATCAATCAAACCGCACTATATCAACAAAAAGTTACTATCAACTACTTAAAGATCACTTCTAAGAAGATTAAAAAAAAATAAAGCCTGTTTAACAGATTTTTGGCAATACTTCAATGGATTTGGTCTTATTTTCATTGTATTTTAGTTTTTAAATAGACACAAAATTACGTAGGGACCAAATGAATCGTTTTGTTATAGTTCTTTTAATTTTTTGTAGGTTTTATTGTCTCGTCTAGACGTATGACTGATTATTCTGCATTATTTACTATCTAACTGTTACTTTTCAACAATATCCAAAATTTGTCTTGGATAATCTTGTCAGAAGCCTTTTTGTAGTCGATAAAACAATCACAAAAATCTTTGTTGACTGTGTAGACAATATTAGAACAAAAGAGAACTGAAATGAGTACGCCTAGTGATTTATATACTTTACGTCTATAAACTATTGTTTTGTGTCCAGTTATTAATGTGACAGCCTATACAGCTCTAGTTGTCCAATATGGGCCTTAGCTACTTTCAGGGATCATATCCTGCTGAAACAGGACTCGGTGGATGGCCGCATTTTTTGCCTTGAATGTATTCGAGGAGGTATTGTCACTATAAAATAAAATTTTATTGTAAGAATATATATTAAATACAAATATTGTTTAAAATGTGTGTTTTATTGATTTTCCTTGTGTTCCTTAATATATCCCGAGAAAATGGTTCGGTTGATTTGAGAAACAAGAGGGACTTGAATAGAGGTTTAAAAGTATTCCTAGAAGCTGATTTAACTATTGAACAATGAGCTGAGGTTAATGCACTGAAAAATGAGTTAAAAGAAAGACAGCGTAAGGGTAAATCCGATCTCATTTTGAAATATGTTAATGGTGTGCCAAGTTAATACGAAAAAACTAAACATATCTACCAGGTTCAAAGCCCTATCAGTCGAAACTTCAAAAGCGCTGGTGTCTTTTCAGAATGTCAGAGGGTTACGTACAAAACTTTAACTACTGTTTGAAAATATTTCTTACTCACAATATGATATTTTAGTTTTTAATGAAACATTGTTAACAGATGACATAAAGAGCACCAAACTGCAAATGTTTGACTACAATATATATAGAAGAGATAGATCCTCAGAAAAAGTACCTTCAAAAGAGGTGGAAGTAGCTGTCCGGAAAACCATAATCAGTGTTCGTTTGTCAGCGACTCAAAATATCAAACTTCTGTTTGTCAAGATTGAGATTGGCCACATCGATAAGTTTATCTTTGCAACTGCCTACTTTCCACCACTTAGTATCATTGAGAAGTATGTCGAATTTGCAGAAAATGTCGATAATCTAGCTGAAAGGTATCAAAAATATAAGTTATGTATCCTGAGAGATTTTAATCTTCCCAATTATCAGTCGTCCATTGATGGATTGTCTTCTGTGGGTACTCCATTACCAGGAACCTCGCCAAATGAAGTCGATTCCATTCAATTCCTCTCATTTTTATGTTCCTTTCATAATCTGTATCAAGTAAACACTGTTAAAAATGAAAACAACTACTTACTAGATCTAGTCATGGTCCAAGATGAAGAACTGAAAGAACAATGCTATCTTGATTATCTTGCTCTAACTGAATCCTCAATGAAAGATAATTGTAAAAAAAAAAGAAATTTAGTTACCATTGCACGTCATTATCATTGACAGAGACAGAGATCGAAGTTGACATAGTTGCCAAAGTATAAAAAAATCCTGAATCCATTTTAAATCAAATAGGTCACATAATTATTGCAAAAATATAACCATCTCTTTACAACGACTATTTAAATTCTTATGTGACATTTTTGAAATAAAACACACAAATTTTGTTCTAAAAAGAACAGGTTTGATTAAATAGGTAAAAATATACAACAAAAGGTATTCACTTTAAAATTTAAAATAATAAAGTACAAAAAGTGTCAACACCGCAACTGTCAAATAAGTGTTACCAATTTATGCCAAAATATCACCTTCGTTCGATTACAGTTACAGTGTGTTCAGAACAAATGTTCTTGATAAAAACGCTTTATAATGCATTTATACAAATTAAATGAAACCTATTATTGTGTATTTCTTTAAGTTAACATTAATAGCCATTTTTAAATATTATTTCTACGCGTATGTTTATAACTGGTGTGTGTTTTTTTGAAATTACCATTGTTTTGGTTTTTTTATATTCACCTTAAGGCCGTATAGTTCTTCTTCTCGCACTACTTTGGTTAACAGAATTTGTAGTTCTTCTTCACTGCCAGCAATCAGTACTGTATCATCGGCATACCTGATATTGTTCACGATTTTTCCATGTGACTCAACGTGAGTACAGGTTGAATAATAATGCTGATAGTATACAACCTTGTCTAACTCCTCTTTGGATGTTTATGGTTTCAGTATCACCCATTTCAGTTCTGAAAGAAGTGTTAGAGTTCACGTATTGTATTAATGTCGTTTGGATCCAGGTTCTTTTTTTGCAAGCATTCTATTAGCTGATCGTGTTTGACTTTGTCAAAAGCCTTTTCATAATCTATGAAGCACAAGTAGACATATTTTTGTTGATCCCGGCACTTTTGCATGAGAACAATAAAACTGAACAAAGCTTCTCGAGTTCCCATACCGTTTCGAAAGCCAAATTGTTCCGGACCCATATCTTCTTCGCATTTTTTTGTAAATTCTGTTATGGATAATTTTTAGAAATAGCTTCAGAATATGGGGCATGAGACTTATTAATCGAAAGTCATTACATTTTTTTGCGTAGTTTGATTTAGGTATAGGCACAAACGTAGACGTTAACCAATCTTGTGAAATTGTACCAGTCTTGTATATACTGTTGAACAGTCTTGATAATAGTTCTAAATTGTCTTCTTCCAAAAGTTGTACTATGAACGTAGTCAGGTCCAGAGGCTTTTCCGGTTTTCATATTTTTTAAGGCGTATTTTATTTCTGATATTAAGATGAGCAAGTCGTCAATTACAACTTTTAATCGATGGTTATTGGTTATCAACCAAGTTTTGACTTTTCTAGACAGCTTTTATCAGAATCACACAATAATAAACAATCAGAATGCCCACTCTACTTAAAAAAATAGGTAATCGCATCTCGTTCGCGCAGACGGAATCAGCCATGTTTTAAACGGAACCAGTGCTGTTCAGTGACATTTTATCTGGTGTGCATAGACAAATTAACCCAGTTTAATTTATTTACGGCAACTATACACTTCATCTAATTTATATACCGATGCACGACATCGGCGTCATAGCCTGTGACGTCACATGATACCAACACAAAATGTTTAGGGTGTAGGTGTGTTCTATTTTAGAATCACTTTACCGAGTACACTGGCATTACAGCCACTAGACATATTTTATTATATACGCGTAAAAATAATATTTAAAAATTTCTATTTATGTTAACTTAATAAATACACAATAATATGTTTAATTTAATTTGTATAAATGCATTATAAAGCGTTTTTATCAAGAACATTTGTTCGGAACACACTGTAACTGTAATCGAACGAAGGTAAAATTTTGGCATAAATTGGTAACACTTATTTGACAGTTGCGGTGTTGACACTTTTTGTACTTCATTATTTTGAATTTTAAAGTGAATATCTCTTGTTTTATATTTTTAACTATTTAATAAAATCTGTTCTTTTTAGAACAAAATTAGTGTGTTTTATTTAAAAAATGTCACGTAAGAATTTAAATAGTCGTTGTAAAGAGATGGTAATACTTTTGCAATAAATTATGTAATATATTTGATTTAAAATGGAGTCAGGATTTTTTTTATACTTTGGCAACTATGTCAACTTCGATCTCTGACGTAGATAATGACGTAAGTCGCCATCTAAATTAGATGAAGTATAGACATAATATGCACTATTTTATTCGTATTTTTAGTCGAAGAATAGATATTATTTCAAATGTACTAAATTATTAACCTCTAAAAATTTAAATTGCAGTTCTATCGTAGCTTGTCACAAATTTCTCAATTCGAGTCTGTTTCCGTCTAAAACATGGCGTTCGCGTGCTGACAAACTTCAAAGGCAACATCTGAGAGTGGACATTCTGATTGTTTATTATTCTGTGTCAGAATATTGAGATTATGTTTGTAAAAATGGCTTACATACTACCTGGGCCATAATTCTTATCCAGAGGCTTCTTCTTCTTTATGAAATAAAAAACACAAATATATTTACTTTTCTTATTCGGAATACGAACAAACTAAAGTATAAAATTTTTTACACTTGCTCTGTTTACTAAAATACTTGGTAAATCTGGCGGTGTCTCTGTACACAACGTTTAAATTGTTCTCTTCGGGTTCCAGCGTTATTAGCGCGTTCTGAATTTCGTCTTCGATCGTAACGTACTGGGTCCTGGCTCCTATTACGTCAGACGTCTTCTCGCAGCCGAAATAAACGATCAAGTCCAGCTCGATGGTCTCGTCCCAGTCGAAATCGGACAGTAACTAGAAACAAAAGAAGACGGAATCACTTCAAAGGAATCGTTAGGGCACTATAATAAATATAGTAATATAGTAAAACGTATTTTCGTACATAATATCATAAGAGAGAAAATGTTGCGGCAATATTTTCGACTTTACAAGACCAGCCATCCAACTAAATACACTGAAGATATGTACTTGGAACGTGCGAAGTTTGTACCAACAAGGAAAAGCCTATAATCTAACACAATAAATGAGATGCTTAAAGATAGATATCCTTGGATGTAGTGAAGTCCCATGGCCTAAGAGCGGTAAAAGTGTCATAGACAACTACGTGTTTTACTATTCCGGAGATAACAACACACAAAACTGCAATGTAGCAATAGTTATCAGCAAAGAAATCGAAAGGTCAGGTGTGTACAAACTTCAATGTGGCGACTGCCCAAAAACTTACATCGGTCAAACTGGTAGAAACTTTGATAAACGAATATATATATTTATATTATATATATATATATATATATATATATATATATATATATATATATAAGGTTCTTGAACTCCTAAGTGGAGCATAGAGCTTCAGTGAAAACGCGCCATCGGGTTCTATTTTGCGCTAAGGCCTTCACCTCATTCCAAGACTTTCCTTGTTTTCTTATCTCGTCCATGATGGATCTTCTCCAAGTTTGTACTGGGCGACCTTTTTTTCGTTTTCCTTGGGGATTCCACTCTAGGGCAGTCTTTGCAATACTGGAGTTATTTTTTCGGAGTGTGTGACCGATCCAACCCCACTTTCTGGACTTTATTTCATTTACTACCCTCTTTTGTTTGGTCAGGTGTAGTAAGTCTTCGTTTCTGATGATGTTAGGCCAGAAAATACGAACAATTTACTTTGATAAACGAATAGCAGAACATAAAAGGGCTTTCAAGAATAGAAAAACAGATTCGACATACGCACTTCACCTTCTAGATCATAATCATTCTTTTAATGACAAATTTAAAATTCTTCACATTCAAATAAAGGCCTTAAGCTATCTTTGTTAGAATCTATGGAAATCAACAAATTAAAAAACACAGATATAATTCTGAATGACCAACTTGAGACAAACAGTTCTCCCCTCCTCAACCTATTTCATTAGAGACTATAAATTTGTAAACCCAAGCCAAAATAGATCACTTGAGAAAGGCAATCAGCCGAAACAGCTGTAGTGATAATATTTAAAATAAATTTTGTGGAAGTTTGAAAACAAAGTTTTCAGTGTTTTATTGTTATGGTTGTTGGTTATTATATTAGTTTTTTTTTTGTAATTCTTGATTTTTGAGCACTTTTATTACTTTTCCACCAAAGAAAACATTACAATTTGACCGTTTCTATACATTTTCGGCAAAGCTCACGAGAAATTAGGCATTTTTGAGGCAAATAATTTCCAAAACATATATATTTAATATTTTGACTCACCGTATAATTGCCGCAAGTCCACCTCTGCAACTCGAATTTCATAGAAGCGTTCGGTCTGCTCAGTTCCAGATCCGTGTATTGTTCCAGAAGCAAGAACATGGCGCTGGATTGAAAGAGGTCCAAAAACCTTTCTAGAACGTGAGGTAAATTATTCATGTCGATTTTCTCGTAGCAATAACGATTCGGAGGTCCGAATGATATCCATCGTGTATCTGAAAATATATATGATCCAAAATGAAAATCGCACCCTCAGTGCAAGACTGCAGTAAGTCAGAATAAGTAAGTTTCGAGATAAAGACTATTTTGTTTATTTTAGTGCTAATATCGGTGAAATAAGACACAAGTTTTAAAAAAAAATTAACATTTAATTATGATTTTTCATGCTTTTCAGCCTATATTACATTAACCAAAAATAGCAATTTAAATAAAATAATATTAATGCAAAGAAAATTAGAAAGGCTATAGCGGGATAAGATGGTCAAAATTGCACCATGCTCGATTTAGTTTTGGGCCTGGCCATTCGAAAGGACATAATTAAAAACTCACTTAGTTAAATTTTTCAAGTCCTTAGGTGCCTCTGGGGGTTCGCTATGGGAAAAAAACGTATTTAAAGAAAAAAAAAATTTTTTATACGCTGTATTGCTGCAAAAAATCTGAAAAAATTTATGAAAGCGTAGTTTAATAATACAATACTACCTGATTTTTTTCAGATTTTTAGCTTGAAAATTGAGCCACGGAAAAAAATTTGAAATTTTTAGTAATATTTTAGGTTATGTCGGAAATTTTTGGCCAACTTTAAAATAATGTTTTTTTTATGGGTTTTTTCCCGTTCTTTCGAATGGCATAGGTATTATTATCATTTTCAACGTGAAAAAATGCCTAAAAATCGACAAAAACTGCTTTTTTGGCATTTTTCTGAAGCCCCCCCACCTCTTAACAATAAATTGTATGGGCCTAGGAACAAAACAAAAAAAAAATAAGTACAGTATTGCCCAAAATAAACAGTACTGAAAGTGAAACATAGATGTCTCTTTGTGCGCGCTGTCATATTCTAATCAACTAGTATAGACCTGTCAAGTAATCCTTAAACAATTAATTATTAAAGCCTAATTGTTAAAAATTTGTTAAGTACAGAGGAGAAAGTGTTTCTTGTGGAGCATTATTTTCGCTCATAAGGAATCGGCCGACGTAATAGTGCAAGTCTGCAATACGTGTGTGATCAATTCACACAACGGTTTAATAAACGTTCTTCAAGTAATGCTGTAATTTTGAAGGTTGTTGAAAAGTTTAGGAATACGGGTAATGTATTGTGCCAACGAAAAGGAAACTCAGTGCGTCCCAGGGCAGTTAACAACAACGATAACCATGAACGTGTTTTTGAGCGAATCTTGGAAAATGCGAAAGCCAGCCAGACAAGAACAGCTTTTCATCTTAGCTTAAAACGAACTTCCTTGCAAAGAATCCTGAAGGAGCTGGATGCATTTTCCTATGTGATTCAGGTACATCAATAATTACATCCAGGGATTGTCACAGTAGAGTGGAATATTACGCCAGAATTCTTAAATTACAATATGAAAATCCTGAATTTTTGAAAAATGTATAGATTTCAGACGAAGCACATTTTCATTTGTCAGGCCATGTAAATCGTCGCACAAATCGATTTCTGCACTTTGCCAGATCCGATGAAGTTTTCGGGACTGCAGTTGTGGTGTGCAGTTTCGGGACACGGAATCATTGGTCCATACTTTATCGAAGAAAATGGTAGGCAAGTCATATTTAATCAACAGAGATACATACAAATTTTAACACGCTTTTATCCCTGATCTACGTCAATTTTGTCGTGCACGTAATTTGGCATTTCGAGACCAATTTTTTCAGCAGGATGGGGCAACTTGCCATACTGCTATCGCAGTTCGTCAATTTCTTTAGGACAGTTTTTATTTTAGGATTAACTGACTACTGACTTCCCCTATCCTGCACATTCTCCAGACTTAACATCTCCATCCGCATACATTTGGGGCATGGCTAAAACTGTCGTTTTTAAACGGGCACCACAAACCAGCAGTGAGTTAAAGGATGCCGTTAGGGCCTTCTTTCGCGGATTTGAGACAACCTTTATTCCATAACATTACGAGAAATATGGAATATCGTTACATGTTATAAAGTGTCAATAATATGTATTTTTTAAAACAATAAAATAATTACAACTTCAGTACTGTTTATTTTGGGCTATACTGTATTACATAGAAAACAAATAATTTATTTATAATGCAATAAGATACAATAATATCAGTTTTTATAAAATAAAAAAAATATTAATAAAATAAACATAAATTAGGTTTTTTAGTGAGATGGATGACTCATAACCTTAACAACATACATCTAAATTAATGATAATTCATATTTTTGGTTTTTGGTTTACATTTTTAAAACTTTTGTTCCAAACGTTTAAAACTTTGTTCAAAGTAACAAACTTTATTATCAAATATTTATCTATTTCAATAACAAGAGTAGTAATAATACAAAATTAGCAATGAAATAAGTGAATTTAAACTATAAAATGTTCTCTAGTATAATACTTTATATATTTTTTTTTCAAAGCGGTGATCCAAACACCCAGAATTAGTATTAAAAAGGTACTTATAAACTTACTTTGTTACACAGTTGATTCAGTCAAAAATTGAGAAAGATGTAGCAAGAGCTATTCAGCAGAACGTCGAAACGCAGTGTAAATAAAAATACAGCATTGGCTTTCGTGAACCTCCATTAAGATGTTTACTTTACTATTAACCTCCGACCAATAAATAACCACAATGCATAGGATCGACGTTATAGTAAAAAAAGAATTTGTTGCTTCACAATATAAAACAATAATACTGGTTATTCTTGACTGTTATTTTAGACACGACACAATTCTGCTATCAAATTCAAAATAAACACAAAAACAGGGAGCTATTCAACATTTGAGGAAAAGCCCCGCCGAAAAGATAAAGTCCCTAACACGCAAACTGACTAAGAGCGATACAGAGGATATAGCCCTACACACGCAAACGCACTAAGAGCAATATATAATGCGAGCCTAATTATATCATACATACATGGCGTTGGTAGTTGCGCCGCCTAATATCAACTACCGTGTGGCGCAACTATCAACGCTATGTTTTCTGTTACAATCAGGCTCTCTGGATATGCGGGATGTCGGGCTAAGACATGCAGGCCAAAACAGTTAAGTACATATAAAATATAAAATAAAATAAAAATAATATAAGCATGGGTATAAGGCTCTTGTATCTAAGCGGAAGAGTAAGACATGGACGAGCATGGTACGAGCTTATGAATTTATATAACAAGGATCTCAAAAGTCATGGAACTATATAGATATGCGTTTGTGTATAAATGCATGTACATTGTGATATAATATCACGTATATATGTAGATATATTCGCTAGCTTTTAATTCCACAACTTTGAGTGTACAACTGCGTTCTAATTCACGATTCATTTTTCAGAGTCTTTTGAGGTTATGTATGTAGTAAAAACATGGAGAAAACGGGGTTTTTCGGTGTTTCAGAAAGTTGTGAGATAAAACTAATGCTTTGAATAACTGATTTTTATTGTAAAGGGAAAGATACATGTGAACATGTAAATTACCATTCATTTAGACACTGAATTTAGAGGTTATATAGCGAAAGTTTAAAAACAACGCCGAAAAAACGGGGTTTTTCGTTTTTTTTTTAGCATGCTGTAGGAAAAAAATAATAGTTTTAATAGCTTGTTTCGATTGTAAAGGTAAGAATACATATAAAAATATGAATTATCATTAATTTAGATGTATGTTGTTAAGGTTATGAGTCATCCATCTCACTAAAAAACCTAATTTATGTTTATTTTATTAATATTTTTTTTATTTTATAAAAACTGATAGTATTGTATCTTATGGCAGTATAAATAAATTTTTTGTTTTTATGTAATACTTATTTTTTTGTTTTGTTCCTAGGCGCATACAATTTATTATTAAGGGGTGGGGGTGCTTCAGAAAAATACCAAAAAAGCAGTTTTTTCGATTTTTAGGCATTTTCCACGTTGAAAAAGATAATAATACCTATGCCATTCGAAAGAAACGGGAAAAAACCCAAAAAAAACATTGTTTTAAAGTTGGCCAAAAATTTCCGACATAACCTAAAATATTACTGAAAATTTCAAATATTTTTCCTTGGCTCAATTTTCAAGCTAAAAATCTGAAAAAAATCAGGTAGTATTGTATTATTAAACTACGCTTTCATGAATTTTTTCAGATTTTTTGCAGCAATACAGCGTCTAAAAATTTTTTTTTTTCTTTAAATACGTTTTTTCCCATAGCGAACCCCCAGAGGCACCTAAGGACTTGAAAATTTACCTGAGTGAGTTTTTAATTATGTCCTTTCGAATGGTCAGGCCCAAAACTAAATCGAGCATGGTGCAATTTTGACCATCTTATCCCGCTATAGCCTTTCAAAGTTTCAACACTTTTGCACGGAGAAAATTGTAAAAAGTGTAGACACATTTTCTGTTAGTTGTTGTCCTCTTCTCGTATGTCATCTTGGGCCAAAATATTTTTATAAAAACAACAAGTTTTTTACAAGAAATCAGATAGCTACCTAGAATAAATAGGTATATAAAACGGCTTATCGCTAGCGGCAATTTAATCTTTCTTAATCTCAGCACATGTTTCTGATAACCACAATTCCTTCACTTTGTAATGACAATGTCATAACAAGGTAGAAAAATTGTTTGTAAAACTTTAAATATTTTTATTTAAATTCAAAACAAAAGGACTATTATAAATATATGCAAATCAGGCTAGCTTCAGTATAGTGATTAACAAAAGGATTGAAATTTACTACCATAGTAAAAGTTGGGAATTACGGGGGGACAATATGATAAGATAATCGAACCGGAAGGTTACATGAAGATATTATACAATTTTCATTTAGTTTTTATAGAACAAGTTTTCTGAGAATAGATATTTTTAACCTGTCAGTATTGTTAATACACGAGTTTTAAGATGACTGTTTTTTCTTTGATAAGAAAAAATACTTTTTTTAAAATCTAATAGATAAATGGTCAAACGACATCGCACACATTTTATGGAAAATATAATGTCACACAAATGACATAAAACTTACATGAATAGATTGGTCTCGTAAATCTTGTTTATTGTCTCGGTCGTTAATGAATTACGTAGACACGCTGTACTTACATTAAAATTAAACACCACACATTGCTTGTTATCGAAACCATTGCAATGTTCCATGCAAAACTGTTATAACTCTGTTACATTAGAATTGCAACAGTCTTGCACGGAACTTTGTACAAAAACGCAAAATAGTTGAACTGTTGTTGTTGTAATATTTAGCCGATTAAGCATTTGAAAGTTACTAAAGTTTTACAGGAGATAGATACGCATGGTTACAATCGAATTCTATGATTATTTCATTTTCATAAAATTTTGAGTTACTGCAGTCTTGCACTGAGGGTGCGATATGCACATAGTACCTAGGTTGTCAGATTCTTTTAATAATTATAAAACACATTTAATTACATATAAAAAAGACTCAGAGTAAGTATACAAAATATCCAAAGTGTATTAGGAAATTTTCAAAACTTTCGCATTTTATTAAAAAATAATTCATTCGTTACCTGAACTATCCAAAGTACGAGAAATCTCATTGAAGCACTCACTCCTGAAGAATTTCCTCAATGAAATCTCTGAGTTTTCTTGTATATGCTTCTTTATTATCTTGATCGATTTCGAGTCCAAATAATCTTCCGATAACCAGGACACTAAGTCGATATCAACTTCTTTGGCTTTAATAGAGTTTTTACTGTACAAACCGTCATTTAAGGGGTGGTAGATTGGGGCTTTGAATACAGGCGGTATTTTTACGTGGAACCACCCGTTTATACTAAGTCTACAGTCGTCTATGGTCGTCACTTCAGCTACCTAAAAGACATTTAATCATATTTCTATGAATGTTTATGTAAATTTTCAATATCATCTTCATTTTGATCAATAAACTTTATTAACTTGTCTACATTCCTTCCTTAAGGTAATGCGGCCATGACTGCATCGTTCGTTACAAAATTTCCATTTGTGAACAGAAAATAGTCACATGGTGCTAAATCTGATGAATATGGTAAATGGCCTATTAAGTGATTTTTTAATTGCAGTATATTTTAGCTGGGCTATAACCAACGATTATCCCAAATCAATGTCGAGGCGATCCTCAGTCTGAGATGCAAAGTACAAGAAGGTTATTTCTATATCCTCTTTCGAATAACAGGAGTTGCATCCCAAATAGAAGTTGTCATCACTTTTCTCGCTTATTGGGTACCAAAAGAGTTGTCTTCGAACTGTAAAAATGTTTGTCTTGTTCCAATACTACTTCTGACCTCTATTTTTATTGTCCTTTCAACCTATACTTCTTTATTCACCCTTCTTAAAATTCCTTACCTACTGCCAATTCATTTTTCTCCCAGTATTCAAATTTGAAATGAGAACTTTTTTACTGAACAGACTATATACCAACAAAACTACTATAATAAAACTGTAGACCTAATTTACCTGGTGATAGGAATCACTCGTGACCGGAAACAACACCAGCTGATTATTTGCAGGAAATATATTACGAACACAAGTTTTTGGTTGACCCGTTTCATCCTTGTTGAATAGCTGTAATGCCCCGCCCTTACTTTCATTCCAACCGTTTTTACCTGTTAAATATAACACAAAGGCAACCATTCTATCTTCTCTTTGGTCATCATGAACTAGGAGGTAATCAGTGTTGCTGTATAAGCTACATGTGGCTGATATATGCGTCAGACTATAGCCAGTGAGGTTTGCTACCTAAAAAAAAACCAACATCTTTAATATTATTTAACTTTGAGATCAGAAGCAGGCTTCAAAATACAATTTTTAAATAAACAAACTATCTTTTTCTTTCCCAGTCAGAGAATAGTATAGAGTAGTGCTGATCAAGGACAGCAACAGAAGTATGAAAACATGGTAGACACGCAGTTAGAGTCTAAGACAATAGCTCCCATTAAGGAGAAGACAATACAAGACAACATTGAAGACATGTGGGGGAAAATTAAAAATACTGTCTTGGAGGCAGCAGACCAAAGTATACAGAAAGAAAACCGTAAACATAGAAAACCATAGATGACAAAAGAAATATTACAAATTATGGAGAGGAGACGGATGGTAAAAAACAAAAACCTAACAAGATACAAAGAACTCAACAGGGAAATTGAAAATAAAATAAATGTAGCTAAGGAAGAGTGGATGAAAGAAAAATGTAAAGAGGCAGAAGATTTGCAAATGAAGCATAAATATAGAGAACTACACAGCAAGGTTAAAGAAGTAGCTAGAATATGGAAACCCAAACACTTATCGATTGTAACAAACAAGAAAAACCAAATGGAATTAGACCCCGAAAAACAGAAAGCAATATGGGAGCAATATCTTAAAAAGATTTGTTTGGTGATCAGAGAACAGTAGAGCCCCCACAAATAGATAGAGATGTAAAATTAAACAGTCTCACCGAAAAAGTTTTGCAAGCAATAAAAGAAGTAAAGAATAACAAGGCGAAGACCTAATAACAGCCGAACATTTTAAACACCTAAGTGATAAAATAATTACTATTTAACTGGGAATAAGCCACAATTAAAGATAAAAATATGTTTATTGACGTTTCAATTTCCACTTCGGAAATCGTTCTCAAAATACAAACAGTAAATTAAACAAATTTTGTTTTTTGTTACATAGTGAAAAATTCTTCTAATAATTTAATTTTATCCGACTCATTTATATTGACAATTCAGACATACATTATGCATTTTAAAGTAGACGACTTTAAAATGATATTGCCAATATTGTTGAGTTGCGCTCCTGGGACGACTTTACTTATAAGATAGTTCATTTGATTACATGAAATCAACTTTAACTTGAGAATATCCGTCAGAAAAAATCATAGCATATAATTCGTCTTTAAAAAGACAAACACATGACATGATGACAGTAAAATTCTCCTGTTAGTGATTCCATAGTAAATTATGAGGGAAAAACCAAGAAAAAAAACCTCATAATACTATCCCGACATGGATAAGTATTTGTTCGTGCATTTAGTTTACCTTCAATAAAGACCAAAATTGTGATTTTATATGTTTCGTTATTTAAAAAACATAAATGATGTATCCTCTATATGTTACTGACTTACTAATACTGGTATTTTCTTATTAATAACTTCCTCTTTCAATATTGGTAACCAGATCCTACTACATTCTGCCGAGGAATTTGGGACACAATTGGCCTCATTTAGCATAATTAAAGCCGCTTCTTTGATTTTTCTTTTTTTACCATCCGTCTCTTTTAGGACTACATGAAACTTTTGAAAACTGAAATACTCTAATGTCTAAATTCTCCAATGTCTAAGAAATTTCATATTCAAAAATCTACTGGAAAAGTTCTTGCTTCCATTTTTTTTTGGGATGTGCAAGGAGTTCATGATTTAATTTTTTGGATAAGGATAGAACAATAAGTTGGTATTAATATCTAATGTTACTGACAATTCTACAAGAAAAAATTATGGAGAGAAAATATGAAAAGTTGTCCAAGAATTTTGTTTGTGCAAGGCATGTCACTGCACAATTTACATATTGCCATGAAAATAGTTCATGGTTTAGGGTTGAAATTACTTGAATACCTTATTTATTAGACTGATCTATCTCTGTCTGACTAACATGTCTTTTATCAACTGAAAAGTATAAGAGTTCCTAAATTTTCAGCTTGTTTAAATAAACCTTAGTTTGGTTAGGACACAATTCAAAGATTTAAATGAGATTGGATTATGATATGCTGTATTTGGGGTTTATAAAATAAAGTCCAAAATTGTTTCTCATGGATTCATGTAAATATCCAATAGTACTTACCCATTCCATGGCTTCCCCTTTTAAAAAATTAAATATGGCATTAATATATTCAAAATTTAAATATTTTAAGTCCTTAGACTGAAAAAATTCATACAGGTCCATATTCCTCATATTCCAGTCGAGTTCATTAAATTCTTGCCTAACATTATCCAACACATCTTCGTTATCTATAAATTTATGTATTACACACACTTTAAAAGGTTCTGTAATTAATTCTACATCTGGATTTGATAGTTTTTCATCTTTGCTCCAATGGTCTTTAAGATCATTGAAAAAGTCTGCTCTGACTAGATTTTTGCGTATTTCTGCTGATATTTTTAACTTCTTTTGTGGAATTGTATCTGGATCTCTGCTACAAGTAGGCATCAAGTGATCTGTGGAACAAAAATAGAAAACTCAAAATTTTTTTTTCTAAAAAGTATGATTTTTATATCAACTAAAAACTACAATTTTTTATAGCAACTTATCCTCTACACCTGCAGTATATTTCATGCTTTTCTACAATAAATCAAGCAATAAAGGTAATGAAGATCACATATAAATGATTTAAAACCAGATTTTGCAAGTTCCAATTGCCCAAAAATCAAAAAAGCTATTAACCCGAAACATTGGTCTAACTGACCACAGAGAAAGGATAGTCTGCCAATGGCGGCAACAGTGTAGGCCGCATGCACTGTCCTTTTAAATACCATCTTAATAGTGTAGAACAAGCATATTTCTGCAGTATCATAGCGATCGCTTAGTGTTTACGTCGTAGTAACAGTAATTTTCAAAACATGTAGGTCTAGTAAGCCAGGTGTTTCGAATTGCAGTGTTTTTATGACAGGTCTAGGAGACCACTTGTTACGGATTGTGTACTGATAAACAATAAGGTATTTCATATTTTTTGTATAATAAACATAATTACTCTAAAAATGTTTTGAATAAGTTATGAATAAGTTTTTTTTGCTCGTTTATACCTAATAAACAATTTAATATTTTGCTTTTCTCTTCAAATGCTACATTTGTTTTTGATTTATTTCAATTTTTACCTATACTGAGCCAATAGACCATATGTTTCGCATTAGCCATAAAAGTACTATGTTTCGGTTTAAGGATTAAAAGTTAATTTTTCCCAATTTGTTAATAAATTTTTAATAATTAATAGCGTTAATACACTAAAACTCCTGTATACAATGTGGTCTGTTACATTAACAAATAGATTTAAAAGCAAAAACCAATATAAATATTAAACTAAATGACAATATGATTGTTCAACCCATGATTTTGATAATAATTTCGAAGAAAGCACATTTTGGTGTTACAATTGCTGGTGGTTGAACATTACACTAACTAACATAGAATTGCTCATCAAATGATTATTACCAACGTGCTCAACAAATCACAGATCTATAAAAATCTATTACCATAGTAATTTGTAAAGATTCCAGAAATCTTTCAGCATAAAATATTAAGACAGTCAAAAAACCCAATTGTCTACAACCAAATTGAATACTCCACAAAAAACGTAAATAATGCATATATTTAATACTTAAAATTTTATAATCAACGTTCTCTTGTTACAGTAACTAAAATACTTTTTAATAAATGAAAATTGGAGAGTGTATTGTGCTTACAACCAATTAATGAAGATGGTGAATTGGGGATAACTTTACAATTGTGATCCCAAAGTTCGCATTCAGTTTCTGGTTCACTCTCTGAAGATTCTTCGAAATAATTGGCGTCGTCGTGGGAAGATTCCTCAGATGTATAATCGTTATCGCTGTTATCTAAAATGAAAAATGATTAATTAAATGTTGACTTCAATTATAAGCAATATCAATTACCATCATATTTATGATTCTCTTTTGAAGTCATTTATAACAAAAATAAGAACAACGTACTATATATATTTAAAAATTTATTTTTATTTTTATTCCTTCTTTCTTAACCTTAAAATTTGACAACAACCTTTCTTCTTTTCGTTTCGTTGCTTTGGTTGAAATCATTATATACACCAGATCCGCTGAAAAGAAGAACAAATTCGCACTTTACCTCACCATCTGTTTGTGGGATTTTATAAAAAACCCAAAAGTTTTTTAGTTTTTTACATGTGTTGTGTGATCAGACGATCAGAGACACCTGAAAGTTTTGTTATTTTAGTGATACAAGTAAAAAATGAACTCAGAAACAAGTGTAGTGCGTGTAATTCACTTGGACGACTTTACTACCGAATATTCTTTGAAAGAGTTTCTATCAACATCATTATTATTGGGTGCAATTAAAAATGTTTTTATTAATAAAGATAATGAGCTACAAATAGTTTTTGCATATGTCATATTTGAATATAGCCGAGATGCAAAGACAGTTGTGAACAGACTAAATGGTTTTTGTTTTCAAAATAAAGTTGTGGAGATTGAATTAATAGATCCCAATTTACCGTACAAAAGATATACTAAGCAGACTAGTGAATCAAATTTTTCTCCAAATCCAACCAATCGTTTACAAAGAAGATTTAGAAATCTAAATATAACATCTCCAAAGAAAAATCTAGATAGGCAGTCCAGTGAACTAGGTATTGATCCACTCACCAGATTACATGCCAAAATAAATTCTACTATTAAAACTGGGAGCCCTGGAGAATATAGAAATATTTTACAGCCTGCAGCTACATTTAGAAATACTAGCCAACCAGAGGATAGTACAGTGAATTCTGGTAGATTTAACAATGGAGCATCTTCAGCAGTAAGTAATATTGTAAAAGCTAAAAATGATATGCCATCAAGAGTATCTGGTTCAAGTTCATCTGCTTCACACTTAAGACAGAAGACAAACACTTTTAATAGAATATCAAGGAAAGCAACAAATAATGAAATACAACCACATGTTTCTACTAAACCAGCAGCAAAACTTAGAAGTACTATATCATCAACAGTGAGTCATCCAGATGATTCTACTAGGATCCAAACACCAACAACTTCTTTACCATTATCTTCAACAGTGCATCAGTCAACTGATTTTGCAACATCGACTTTGGTAAACCATCACTTAAATACTTCTACTAGAGCTAAATTACCAGTAACTTCCCCTTCTTCATTACCTTCAGCAATGCTCCAACCAAATACTTCCACTAGGGCACAAACACCACCTACTTCTGCATCATTATCTTCAGTAAAACATCTCTCTAATGCTTCTAGTAGAATAAAAATATCAAAAACTTCATATAGACCACTAACACCAACACCTTCTCATTCTTCATTGTCTTCAGCAGTGAAAAATACTTCTACTAGAGCACAAACACCACCAACTTCTGCACCATTATCTTCAGTAAACCATATCTCAAATGCTTCTACTAAAGCTGAAACACCACCAAATTCTTTACTGTTATCTTCAACAGTACACCAATCAACTGCTTCTACACTAGGAACTTGCCAGCCATCATCTTTGATAAAGCATAAATTAAATACTTCTACTAGAGCTCAAACACCAGCAACTTCTCATCTACATTGCCACTTTCACTTCATTGCCTTCAGCAGTACAATACCCAAATACTTCCGCTAGGGCACAAACACCAATAACTTTACCATTATATTCAGCTGTGCATCAGTCAAATGCATCTGCACTAGGAACTTCTCATTTATCATTGTCTTCTCAGCATCACTCAGATGCTTCGACTAAGTCTCAAACATCAACAGCTTCTTATCACTCATCACCTGTATTTGAACATAGACCTGTATCTATTGAATCGAGAAGAAAACCTAAAGAACCCAAATGTGTTATTTCATAATTGTCTGAATTTATATTTGATTTGAATAGTGTAAATTTTAATAACAGCAACTCCCAAAAAGAACGGTTTGGTTGCTAGTGCTTATTAAACCTCATTCCAACAAGAAGTTTATTTGTGCATAAAAAGCACTCAGCATAACTATGTAAAACAGAAATTGAAAACACAACCACTTTCCGGAAGAGTTTGGTTGTTTTATATATTTGATTTCTTTACAGGTGGAGATTGATTATTATAATTTTGTTACATACTTCACAACACTTGTTGGAATGAGGTACATCTCTATATTTTAATGATTTCTCTCAATGTTATAAAATATTTTGTTATTATTAATATAATGAGGTAGATAAATTTATTAATTTAAGTTTAGTTTAGTTTCGTGAAGTATAATTTCTTTAAAAATATTTATCTGTCTTAAACTTTGTGTTTTCCCTTCATTGACATTTTCTTTTATTTGTGTACAAAATTACTTTCCGAATGGTTTATGGTCCCTGTTTTACCATAAATATCTATAATATATTTTTCTAAATGTTCATTCAACTGAATGGTCTAACAATTGATTTAAACAAAATGGGTAGGGGAGCTAAAGCTAAATGAAACACAAATTTGTTTTTTATTTTTCCTGTTTTTGCATGTAGGTATATCAGTTTGAAATGTGTTTTAAAAGATGCCCTTCAGTACTAGGAACAGACTTGAGTGGCATCAAAAACTATATTAATAACTATTTTGAGTAATAATCAATTCAAGTTTAAAAAAAATGTTTCATTGTGCCCCACCACTGGGGAACAATGTAACATACATAGGGGTACAATTTAACATATATAAAAACGACTGAGTTGTACAATAAACCAATGAGATTGCTTTAGAAGTATGCCCAATAAAAGTGCTATGCTATAGTTTTATTCCAATCATAAAAAAATAATATAAAATCAAAGGAAAAATAATTCAAACATTGAATATAGTAGTTAGCCAATATTTAAATTAGTGAATTCCGAAAGAAATAAATTGTATTTTGGCGTTGGGTTGATCCCGCAAAAACCGGGTTCTCCAAAATCATCTTAATGCGATTCTCAGCTACTATTAAGAAATCTGAACTGGTGGCTCTACAAAGGTTTATGTCCTTTTTTTCTGAAAAACTTCACTTCAAAATCTCCACTCGTATTCTTTCATAACAAGTCCAACATAGAACTTACCATTATGGCTGTTTAATTTATATTCCACCAGTAAATAATCATTTTTAATGGGTGACCTATCCAGATCTATGAATTTGTCTTCATTAAGAATGAAAATGTTTTCAATGGAGTCAAGTCGTCATCAGTCTCAATATAATTGACTAAATCTTCTTTAGATAAAGACTGAACCTCTTCGATTTTCTTGGACTTCTTCCTAGTGGTCTTATTAAAATGTGTTATTTTCCGTTTGACCATTTCTCTTTTTGCTATTGATACCGCCGTTTAATTGGCAGTCATTTCTGGAGTACTAGTTGCTATCATACTTTTTCTCTTGCACGACCGTTTCTATTGTTTTTCCTACTCCCTGCCTTTGGAAATCCTCTAAAATCTTCAAGCCCACATGGTAGTAGAAATACTGGGGTCTTGGGAGTTGTTATTGAAACTTGAGGAGTTGTCATCTGCATCGATTTCCATTGTTGAGTTGTTGATTTTTTCAGCAGGAGCATCACCTGCCGGTGGATCCTCTTTTACCTGACAAGTAGCTGGCAAGTCCGTCATTGGTCGATTGGTGAAAAGATGTCTCATATGGGTAAATCCCTGTTTTCTTAAAAGCAGCAGTGATGTTTTATGGAGTCATTTCTCTCTCGTGAGCAATCTTTACAAAACCAGCAACATTGTAAATATTTTCTGTTTGTCCAGGATGCTGCAGCATCCAAGTATCTATTGCAGCATTGTAATACGTTTTGAATGGCTTAAACACTCCAACATCTAACAGTTGCAATTTATTGGTGGAATTTAGTGGAAAAGTTAACATAGTCACTCCATTTTCTTTGCGCAAATTAAGTGCCTCCAATGATAAATGACTTTCGGGATTGTCGCATAATATCAGAGTTGTAGATTGTATGCTGCTTTTTTTGTGTGGTAGATGAAATGTTTAATAACTTCCACAAATAATACAGAAGTTATCCAGCCTGATGAATTTGCCAAACCAAGAGTACCAGTGGGGGCTTCCTGCACCATATGAGGCCCAAAGTGTACACGTGGAAATATCATGACGGAGGGATACAGTTGCCGCTTGCTGAGATGAAATAACAGGTCACATTAGTACCCTTCTCAGTACTAGTGCACTTGCTGCTTTTTCGGCAATTATTTTTTGAGGCTTCTGAACTGTGCATGTGCCTGTTTCGTCCAGATTAAATACTCGTGTTCCATCTGCAAAGTAAAGATTTTTGTACACTGCTTGCAAATTGTCAAAATACACTTCTACATTTGCCCTTGTGAAAGAAGTAGCTCGGGACAAACTACATCCCTCAGGAGTTCTTTGACTGAGCGATGGATTTCTTTTCAAAAACCCATAGAACCAATCTTGTCTTGCCGATTTGTTAGCGTCCCATGAAATTGGATGTTTTATTTATTACTGCTTTATCATAGGCAACTTTCTTTTTTGGAACACATTAGTAAAACTCTCTCAGTTTATTTTCTTGTCTACATTAAACACTTGTCGGACATAGTGTGCGGAACATACTTTAAATTTGTATCACACTTATTGTCTTTTTTCTTTTTCACATATCTAGATATGTTACGTACGTTATATTTCATTTTTGAATTCTGCTGCCCGCCTGATGGAAGTGGCCTTGACATCTTGACATGAGCATATTTCATGTCAGTCTCGAGAAACAAACCTTTATTGGTTTTTCTTTGATGATTTGGAACCTATACTGGAACAAAAATAAAAATATTATTTTGATTAAATATTAATGGGCCACCTTGAAACGTTTCTAAGTGCCCCGTACATTTATGTTTCATTGTACCTCAATCGTACATATTTACTATTTTAAGCCAAATTCTTAAAAAACAATTATAGAAAAGAAAATTCAGTAAATACAAAACGTTTCGAATAATGCTTACTCAACTATTTCTTTGTTTCACGTTAAGAAAATAACATTACGCTTATGGAGATCAGTGTTGCCAAAACTCTCAGACACTCTCTTTTGCACGGATGTCCAAGATATTCCCTTTGCTTAATTTTTGAATTTTCATTTTCAATTAATATTTAACTGTAAAGTCAGAATAACTACTAAATAAAAGCCTTATTATCATTATGTAGTCAGAGACGACATAAAATAGCTGACATACGCACATCGTATTATTTTAAGTTGCAATTAGTAATTAGATATACGCATTCCAAGCGGTCAATATTTTCTACTGATTTATATGATTCATGGCATATCGTATTCTCACCGAAAAACAAATAAACTGTCGTTACTATAATTAAAATAAGATAAAATAAAATTATCTTTTGTAAATACTATTTATCTAATTAAAATCATTTTCCCTACTTTTCATCTCTTGTTTCGAATGGGCACTTTTGGTCAATTACGTTAAAAAACATTAATTTAATTCATGTTTGTGGAAACGAAAATACAAATTATACAACCCTAAATTGTGCTTGTGTGTGTCGTGGCAACGCCGCGTTGCTATCGTCCATAAGAAATACATGGCCCTATCTCGCAATGTTATTTTCTAAACGTGGAACGTAGTATAGATATAAATATTGCAGTGTTTACCTTAAAATCAAACTATGTCCGCACGTAACAATTTATTTTTGTCACACAGAAACACAATTTCCTCAGCCGCGTCCAAACTGCAACTAAAATTATAACGAAACAAAAATGACTAGTTCTGGTGTCGACCGAAGCGCCACTGACAGTAACAGATTCTCATTTACCCACCAGAATTTAAAATACGAACAATTTTTTCAAGGTGCGCCGTGCTCCCCTATCTGTTTGGGTGGTGACCACCTCACTGGATGTGAATTGTTTGTTTTTGACAATTTTTTCAAGCTTGAAAATAAAAAGTCACTGGAAGCAAACAAAATACATTAAATGTGGTAATAGTTTCGACCTTTTTCACGTTCAATTTTTCATAAAAAATTGAAATTACTGTTTGATTTTAACTTTTTTTTTTAATAAACAAATAACAAAAAATTTTAAACCATGTAATGAATATAACTAAAACTTTAACAATTGACTACTGAGAAATGATTTTAACAAAAAATAAAGAAATTTCTATATTAAGAGGACTATCCATTAGATTTTCTAAGGATTGAATAATGTACCTATCTATTTTGATTCTGCTCTTGTATTTCCTCATTTTTATGCTGACTTTTTGTCCTATTTTAAACTCTATTGTTTGTGTATATATTTTTTAAGTGGGTTTCATTTGAAACTGCAAATATAGATTTTATTTTAGAAGTGAGTTTATTCTTTAAGAACATTACTATTTGATGAAAATTGCATTGACCATGGCATATTTGACTGTATTAAAAATTGGTACTTTATTGTTGTTTACTAAAGTTGTTAAATAAGATGTATTTTAATAAATTGTGTTTTTCTCAATGTGGTTGTTATTCTATAACCTGAGTTAGTGGCATACGAGGTGTGTAAAAATATCCGGGTTCGTTTTTTGAAAAATGTTTATTCATCTACAGTACATTCAACCAACTTACACCTATAAACGATTAAAGGTGCTGAGGGAGCTTTGTAACTGGCTACCTACATCGTGAGCGTTGGAAATCTTTTGATTCCAAGCCTTACTTCAAAGGA